GTCATGTATACTAATTAATACAATCTTAGAAAATTTTAAATAATAACATAAAAATTAGCCTGCAAGTTAATATATCTTCAGAAAAAGAAACAAGTTACAAAGTATAACAATGCAAATAAAAAATGAGATAAAGAGAATAATATCTTTATTAATTACCTGCATGGCGTGACTTAATAATATGTATATTTTCTGCATGCTCTTTTATTGCTTCCTGATGTTAGCAAAATTTTAGGTGTTTTTAAAAATTATTTTAGTGTTTTTATTAGTACATTATAGTTATGCATAAGACTGGGGTACATTTAGACATAATTATGGATGCATAGGATATTATTTGCTCCATTTCAGTCTCTGGTACTATTCCTATGTATACAATAAAATAAAATAAAAATTGGTGCTTTATCTAGCATAGTTAATTGACAGTTTTTTAATATTGATACTTATAATAGTATAACTCACTTTCTTAAATTATTATGTAAGCCAATAATTTAGAGTCCGGCAAAATTTTGCATATTTTCAAATATAGGGGAAATTTTTTATATGACATTATTTAAACATCTAAGTAAACAGTCTGGAAAAACTTTCCACAAATTACCTTTTGGCTCTGTGTATCAAACCTTGTTCCTATTCTACTGTATATAGGTAGAATATTCCATTATTTACTGAGGCCTAAAAGTATTCCTGGATGTCATTTCTACACTAAAAAATGCATTGATAACTACATATGGATACGATTTTTAGCTCCGTAATTATACTTCACTGAACTCAAACTAAAGTTGATTTTTATCATTTTCGGTTAGCAAGATCACAAAATTCTCACAGCTGTTCCATTGTTCCTCAAAGTAAAGGGAAAGCCTGATAATATAGGAATTCAAGACAGTACTCTTGTTTTATTAGTGATTAAAATATTTTAGAAAAATTTTGTATTATCAAAGAGTTCCTCCATTTCATAAAACAGTTTGGCAGTTTTTTTATCAAGCTAAATGTGTGATTACCACGTCACCTAATAATTGTCCTATTGGGCACTTGTACTAGAGAAATAAAAACTTATATTCATATTAACACCTATATGAGAATGTGCATTGAAGCTTTATTTGTAATAGCTGAAAAATTGAAAATAGTACCAATATCACTTGATAGGCAAAACAAATTGAAGTAGATTAATAACCCAGAGTAATATTCTGTGTTATAAATAAAATATTCCTATTTTTACAAAATTGAGGCTTTCTGAACACATTTTTTTGAAAACTTGAAATGCTGGGCTAAAAGCAAATTTTTTGAACTTATTTTGCAACTATCAAGACAATGTGAGAGACTTATTTAGCTCTAAAGGCATATATTTCTAAGTGAATTAGGGACCCAGAACTTGGAGATCTCTTTAGGTCAGGAAGTCAGGAAAGTCAGAGATCATTTAACCCTTAAAGAGATGTATTTACATCACCCAAACCTAGAGTGAAAACTCAGAAAATCTTAATCCCTTACAGAATATTATCTCTTAGACAAAAATGAACAGTGCATTTCACTCTTCAGAGAATCTGGAGGATGAAAAGAGAAGGCAGAAAGTACACCAAAGAAGAGTGAGGAGTGCAGAGAAAATATATGGCATAGAAGATTTTGTCCCCAAGTACTTGTTGTTGTATGAGATACCAATATAACACTCTTAGTGCACCTCATACTGCTGGTAAGAGGTTGCAGAATCATGCTCCAGAGGACTGGCAGGCTCTGAGAAGGTGAGCAGTGTTTAAGGTCACTGCACAAGACAAACACCTACTCCTTGCCCATGTCTTACTACCTCACCATGACAAATTAGAAAGAGGTGTTTTCTATAAATAAAACATCCTTTGTTCTCTTTTTGGTATATGCACATCTGTATGTATAATTTTAACCATTTCTACTTCAATTCGAATCTGAAATAAAATTTAAAAAACATGATAAAATTGCAAAGACAATGGTAAAGCCCTAAGAGGACATGGGTTCACATGGTGACTGTAAAAGGAAACCGGAATTTTTTGCTTAACCATTATAGGATCCCACTTTTTCTCGAAGTGAAACAGGGAATCAGAAACGAAGATCATTTAGGGCATTTTTCTCTAAGTTTCGAAGTTCTGTTTTTAACATGAAGTCAACAGACTGTGTCCCTATAAGTTATGCCGAAACTCACTTTGCTCCAGCTGGGGCGTTCCTTGGATTAACCAGTCTCTGATCACTGATGCTGTTGTGATCTTTCTTTTAATCACTTGTGTTAGTTATTTTTGGGAACTGTGTTATTTGGGCTCTACCCCTGCCATCTGCTTTTCCCAGAATAATGAAACAAATCATATCTCATAACCTAAATGATTTTGAAGTCCTACATTCTACATTAAAAACAAAAAAATACTTGGTGATCTTCTGCAGATTTTCAGTAAACTAATAGCTCCTATTTTGCCCAAACCCTTCCTTCCATTTTCTCTTCTTTTCTCCAAATTGTATCCTTCCCTTCTGATTCCTTCAAAAGGAGAAATAAAAATAGCACCCCTTCCTTTTACTACATGGGTAAGAACTAGTCCTGTGTGAAGAAAACTTGTAATAATTGTTTGTCTTTGGCCTTTTTAAAATAGCTTTCCAGGTCAGTGTGGAGATGGATCACAATTGCTACCTAGCCAAATACCACTCTATATTTTCTTACCAGCCTTGAAGGCCCTAAGGTAATCTACTTCCATTTGTTGAAGCTGTTTAAATAAAGGCACTTTCTAGTGTTTGATAACTCTGTCACAACAGCAGGAAGATCTGTTGTATGTAAACATCAGGAAGTAATAGGTACAAACCTAGGGATCCATGAATGAGTTTTATTTTGTCAATAATGTCCAGGACAACTTTATTTCTCCACAAAGAAGCTGATAAAAAAAAAAAAAAGAAAAGAAGGACAGGAAGAAAGGAAGAAAGAAAGCACAAAAAGAGTAAAATGAAAGGAGGGAGGGAGAAAGGAAGAAAATTAGTTACTCTGACCATCAGCTGGGAAGACGAAGTCCAATGTTGCATCATTCCTTTTCTTCAAAATCATTAGTTCAATAAAAGCTACTGATAATATGCAAGTTTCAGATATGATGCTATTTGTTAAAGCCTGCTGCTAATGAAGCCAGCATGCTGCCAATTTGAGGTATGTGTATCATTTTCAATTTTATAAAGGGCTAAAATAAATCAAGAATGAAATGTGGTCAGGTTCACATTTTATGCATACATCATTGTTGCTCTGATGTCAGAACAGAGAATAGATTGGTGTGGAGAGAATTGGGGCAGGGACATCAATAAAGATCAATTTTATGGGTGAAATATAATGAGGACCCCAAA